AGTTATAATGAAGGTAAGATGGGGGAGACAACTGACAAGAGGGGTAGGATGGAGGTTAAACGAGGCCCTTCTATTAGATCAAGAGACAGATCAGCAGATCAGATCAGGGAGATGGAAAGATATTTTCAGGAGAACGAAACAGGGGATGTCTCAATGGCCACTGTCTGGGAGTCCCATAAGGTATATATTAGGGGTATATTGATTGCGCTAGGGGCAAAAAAGAAAAGAGAAAAGAGTAAGAAAATGACAGGGCTCTTAAAAGATATAAACGACCTGGAACAAATCCATAAAAATAGAATAACATGTGAGATAAGACAGAAGATAATAGGAAAGAAGAAAGAATTGGAGATATTAATGGAAGAAGAGAGGAGGAGAGTACTCAATAAAGTTGCAGGGGAGAGGTATAGATGGGGAGATCGACCAGGAAAATATCTAATGAAAGCCCGGAGAAAAAAAGAAAAATAGAAATTACATAGAAAAAATAAGAAACCCCAAGGGAGAAATGGCTCACTCTACTAAAGAGATTGGGAAGGTGTTCAAGGATTATTATAATAAGCTGTATAATATTAAGTCTCAAAACCTAGTAAATAATAGTGAAAATGAGAACAGAGAAAAAAGAAAGGCATACTTAAAAAATGCAGGACTACCAAAGATAGATGAAGATCTATTGAAATCCCTGGAATTAGAAATCACACAGGAGGAAATAAAAATAGCACTAAAAGATACTAAGGTGGGGAAAAGTCCTGGCCCAGATGGATATATTGTGAGATATTATAAAAAATATAGTGAACTATTAATACCAAAATTGAAGGAATATATGAATGCCCTGGGTGGAGAAATGGAGATTAGACAGGAATCCCTACAAGCCCATGTAACACTTATACATAAGGAAGGGAAGGATGCTACTCAATGTTCGAGTTATAGGCCAATTGCACACCTAAATGTAGATACAAAGTTATATGCAAAGGTTTTAGCAAATAGGATGAAAGACTTAATGCCAGAATGGATCCAGGGAGATCAGGTTGGTTTTGTATCGGGGAGGGAGGGTAGAGATAACGGAATTAGAACTCTGTTGTTGATCCAGAAAGCTAAGAAAGGGAAAGTCCCGGCAGTGGTTCTCTCGATCGATGCTGAAAAAGCTTTTGATAGAGTAAACTGGAGCTTTATGATGGATACCCTAGAGATCATGGGGGTAGGTGGTAGAATGAGGGAATGGATAGGAAAATTGTACAAAACACGCCATCCGCGGTTATTTTGGTTAATAGTGAAAAATCTGCGCCTATAAGGATGTCAAATGGGACTAGACAGGGATGCCCACTGTCCCCATTACTGTATGTGTTAACATTGGAACCTTTGTTAGAAACAATTAGGAAGAACGTAGATATAAAGGGAATACAAATAGGGGAAACGGAACATAAGGTGGCAGCTTTTGCAGACGATCTGTTGTTTTATGTGGGTAATCCTAGGATAACACTCCCGAATTTAATAAAAAGCTTAAAAAGTATGGAGAGAAATATCAAATTTGAAAATCAACCCGACAAAAACCGAGATCTTGAATATAAATCTCCCGAATAGTGAGAAAGAAAAGATACAAAAAGAATTCCCTTTTATATGGAGAGATAGAGAGATAAAATACTTAGGAGTTAAACTTACTGCTTCATATACAAAACTGTATAAATTAAATTATATTTCCCTTTTAAACGAGATTAAGGAGGAATTGAAGAAATTGGGAGGAGGAATCCCTTCCTGGTTAGGACAAATAAATCTGATAAAAATGATAATTGTACCCAAAGCTTTATATAAAATATCAAATGATCCCAATAAAACTCCCAGAGGCATTTTTTAAAGAAATTAAAAAGATGATAACAAAATTTATATGGAAAAATAAAAAATCTAGAATATCGTATGATTTGATGAGTAGAGGTAAAGAGAGAGGGGGACTGGGAGTGCCAGATTTTAGGAGATACTATAATGCTGTAGTTTTAACAAGAATTTGTGATTGGACACACAATATAAGGGGGAAAAGATGGGTGAAGATAGAGAATGATCTGAGTGGAGTCGACCTGAGTAGAAATATATGGGCACCAGCACAATATAGAGGCTTAAAAGAAACCACGAGTGTGTTTACCTTGAATGTCTTAAAGGTTTGGGATAATTTACACAAGTATATGCATTGGGATTTTAATTCACAATTAATGTCACTAAGGAATATGGAGTATTTTCCACCAGGTATTGAGGGGAGTATGGGAAAATGGATCAAAAAGGAAGACATTCAACTAAGGGATATTATGGATGGACAGAAATTGAAAACATTGAAAGATTTAAAAAAAGGTGGAAGGGAACTTTTTATTAAGATTGATGAGTGGAAATACCACCAATTAAAACACTTCGTTGAGGGTCTTCCGAAACCCATAAGAGGGAGAAAGGAGTGGAACTTGTTTGAGAGGTTGTTGGAATCACGGGGAGATGGAAAACGGGGCACGGCAAAAATTTATAAAATTCTCACTGAGTTAGTCACGGAAGTAAAACCAAGCTATATAGAAAAATGGGAAAAGGATTTGGGGGTAGAGATAGATGAGGATAAACAGAGGAAAATATATAGACTTACACACGAGAACATTAGCATGAGAGAGGTGGAGGTAAATTATAAGAGTTTAGTAAGATGGCACATTACACCTATAGTGGAACACAAAATGGGTGTAGAGAGAGCACAGGAGTGTTGGCGTGGGTGTGGAGAGATTGGTACGTGGTTTCATATTTGGTGGGAGTGCCCAAGGATTCAAAAGTTTTGGGAGACAACGGTCAACTTAATAGAGAAAATCTCAGGAATAAAGATAGGATTAGACCCACAAGTGTGCTTATTACATAAAACAGATTTACCAGTGAATAAATATAAAAACTCGGGTATATGGTACTTTGTGAATGCAGCTAAGGGTTTGATACCTAAATTCTGGCATAGTGTAGAGGTTCCGAGAGAGAAGGAATGGGTAGAGAGAGTAAATCAGATTAGTAAGATGGAGAAACTGTACTATATCCAGGAAGATAAGATGGAGATATATAATAGGAGATGGGAGAAATGGGAAGATTTTGTACACCAAATGAGTATACATGAAGTAATGTTAAGAGAAGATTCTTAATTTTATAGGGAAGGAAGTAAGAGAAAAATGCAGAGTGGGAGGGTGGAGGGATGTGGTAGGGTGTAGGGGTAGAGGTAGAGGTAAGGGAAAAAAGAAGAAAAAGGAGGTAATAGAAAGAGAATAAGAGTAAGAATTTTATATGAGAATGTAGATGAAATGTATTGTTATGTTCTTCTTTCTTGTTCCTCTTTTTTCTTTTTATATGTAATTATAAATATGAAAATTTAATAAATATTTGAATTAAAAAAAAAAAACCAAAGTACCTTCCTAATCGATATACAACTGTCACATGATCCAGCCTGTCTGCAGGGAAACAGTGGCAGGAGGACCATCTAGTCACATGTTTAAAATAAAAAAAAACACCTGTGGAATACAGATAAAATAAACAATCAAGATCACTAAACTGTTTTAAATTGTCACACAAATATATATTTGAAATCAAATCTTTATTATTTTTGGCAATAACATGGTATGGGCAGACTTCTGCCAGTCACAGGCTGTGCCATGCTCTCCAGCCTGTGTCTTTGAATAACAGGGCGGTGATGCCTCCGTCAATCAAGATGTAATATCCAACCCCTATTGTGGTTAGCTGGTTAGTGGACATTGAGAGGAGGGTGGGCTGTCATTTACCACTTTGTATACACCCACATCTGTCACTCTATAGCCACATGGGCTGCTCAGATGTGATAGGGTGGAAATGCAAAGGTAAAATTACACTGTAAAACTGAGCATGTGCAGTAGCTGCCAACACTGTTCTGCAAAATCCTCAACTGCAGTGGGGACATGGAAAGGAGGGGGAGATAAACAACAGTAGGATCATCCAGGTTTTTTGCAGAATACAGAAAACGAATCCCATAGTGACTGAGTGAGTATGAACAGCATGTAATAAAGCATTTATTGATAGTTTTTTTAATTATGTTGGTTTATGACACTTCAAATAAGACTTTAGCGAAAATCAGAGAGAATTTTAGAGCCATTAATGTAAAAAAGATAAAAATTTTCAGGAGTTTGCCCTTCCCAAGAAGGCTAGCAGGATATGAGCCAAATAATAGACATGAATAGAAAGCTGTGTAAAACTTAAGCCTTGTATTTAGAGTACGCATTTTGATAGTCTGCCTACGCAATCACTTTAAGGCACAAAATAACATTACATTTTTTGGCATTCATTCACTTCACAGAAAAAACAAATATAAGTAATAAGTAATGTATCAGTGACGTATTGGTCCCTATAACGGTAACAGAAAACACAAAAACTGTACAACAGGATATGGTCAAAAAACATTAAATGTTTCTCAGAGCCACATACAGTACCTGAGCACCTAAATATTCAAAAGTCTAGCATGTCCATAAAATGTATATTGCCCTGCAATAATTTTTAAATGCCATATGTTTAAGGTCAATATGCATGATGTGTTAAATAAAAATAACAAATTTTATACAGGAGTAATGCCCACTATGAAAGGACCAAGTCAGGAAAATAAAATCATAAGGCAGTTTAAAGTCTAAAATAAGGTGTAGCAAGAACGCTCATAGATTAACAGTAGTTTGTGATTTTAATTCCAAGGCCAAAAAGTAACAGACCAATGAGGTAGTGCTGACAGCTGCTGACAGACTACCAAGTGTTACTCTGATTTCATTTGTTCTCTAATATCAGATGGAAGTGTCTCAAACAAAGAGTCTTCTACAATAAATCCATTTTTCTTCAGGGATCTACAGTCCCCGAGTTCTGGCGGTAAAGACTCAAAATGATTACCTTTAACGTCCAGATGAGACAGGAACACTAAGTTTCCAATTTTTGGTGAAAGAGAGCATAAGTTATTTTTTCCAAGCTTTAAAGTTTTCAGTTTTTTGCAAAAGTATAGTTCATCTGGAACGCTTTCTACTTTGTTGCAAGATATCGAAAAAAAACTGCAAGCTTTGGAGAACCCCAATCTCAGGGGGAATGAACCTGATGTCGTTATAACACAATTCTAAGTGTCGGAGTTTGTGACACAAGAACAAGTGAGAAGGAAGAACTTCAATTTTGTTATTGTTGAAGTATAGCTGTTCCAAACTGGAAAGTTTTTTTATGTGTTCTGGGATGTAAGTAATACTGTTGTGCCAAAGCTTTAAGGTGGTTAGTTTGCGCAAGTGTTGAAAACTGAGAATTTCTTCAATGGACTTGAGATTATTTTCCTTCAGATCCAGTCCTTGGAGTGATAACAGACTGAAAATAGCATGAGGTATGCGCTCTAAGTCACAGTGTATAAGTTGCAGCTCAGTCAAATTTACCATCTTCTTCAAATTGTTCAGCATCACGAGCTTGGTGCCATCATTATGCATACACAATTTTTGAAGATGTCCAGCAACATCAACAGCCCCTTGAGGAATTTTAGATAAATTACTTTTGATAAATAGTATTTTTAGACTCTTAAGCTCACGGAAAGACTCAAGGTTGATGTTTTTTGACAGATCAGGGCTTAAAGAACCAATGAGATAGAGTTCCTCTAGATTCCTTAAGCTGTACATCCAAGGTGGAAGTTGTTGAACATCGTCAAACTTTACTCTTAGTATCTTTAGGTTTTCTTTCAGAAATGCCAGTGCTGCTGTGTGAATTTTGATGGAGCACTGATACAATGTCAATTCTTGGAGATTATCAAGCTGAGCAATTGTTGCTGGTATCATGACGTTATTAAGAATTTCCAGCTTTAAAGACTGTAGCTCTGTAACCTCAAATACAGTATCGGGAAGACCAGAAAGCATAAACAGTTGTAGCTCCAAACGGTTGGAGGCATTTGTTTGTAACCTCTGCCTCAACTTATCTGCTGTCCATTCATTATTCAAGTTTAACTGCTTCAGTTTGTTTTCACTCACTTCTGAAAGGAACACAGCAAATCTTTTTGAGTACAGTGGGTCATACTGATCAATCATATGAAACAAAAAGGCAAAGTCGTTCTTGACATCCGGTATGTCATCAATTCCAGTCTCCTGACGAACATATTCAAAAGAGTATTCCCTTAAGGATCGGTAGAATAACCAGTAAAGTGTATAAAGGCACGTTAAACCATACACACCAACAAAGCACAGGTAACAAAAAGATAGCTTGGAGAACAGATGTGCCATTGTGTGGTTACAGGAAAAGTTGTTATAGCCGGTCATGTCTTGTATATCAACATTACAGTCCACTGTGAATTGTACTTTTGAAACAAGTGCACTATTATAGCAGATAATAATGAGGAATTTAAGAAGTTTTAAGATGGTCTGACGAACATACATGGCATATAGCAAATCCCCTTCCTCAACATGGAGCCGGAATTTTTTTACTTTTTCAAACAAGGCCTTGGCTTGCTCTCCTTCCTTTTTGTCCAGGGCCCCTGCAGTTGTTTTGTCAACCACAAATTTTTCTGGTATGGATTTGAGTGACTGAGTCTTAACAAGGGGACTCTCCACAGCAGAAAGGGTTACTCAAGGACTTACTCATAGTATTCTTTCGATTGTCCTTCTCCTCTGGATCCTCACCAGACACTTCAGATAATGCTCGTGTTGTCCAGGGGGAGTCAAAACACTTTCCAAGTATGGAAATAAAGTGCTCGATTTTTGAGCTTGATCCGGGAAATTTGAACCAGAAGTTGCTACATACCATAAAAATTAAGGTGTGAATTAGCACTAAATAGGGGAAATACTTAGCGTACCAGTGAAGAGCACGCTCGTAACAAATTTGATTTATAAAACTGTACTGTTGAAGATCCAGATCTGTTTTTAACCCTTTCATTTCCACAGTCGCAGAAGGTGTTAATGGCTTGGGAGCTGGAAGAGGCACATTGAGAACAGGACTTGATGAGTTATAGACAGAAGTGTTGTGAACTGTATGAACTCTTTTTGGCAGACAGATTATCTTGTCCTGCATGACCTGAAAAGTGAATGGTACAAAAGAGGTAGAATGTTTATTTAGGAATGACTCAATGTTAACATATACCAATACAAAGATATATATATATCATGGTTGTATTTTCTTAGATATTTATCCTTTTGCTTTCTGTTTCCAAGTTCGTTATATGCCAAAGTATACATTCCCTATTGACAAATGATTGTTCTGTAACAAACAGCACTTTATTTAGGCAAAGAACAGTGAAAGTGCAGTAATCAATAGCAGTGTGTCAGCTATCCTTTCATTCTTTTGTCTGCCCAAAACTGATAAGGGATGATTTCTAATTGGTTGCTAATGGAGCAACAATTTGCACACCATCACTGCCTTCTACATTGTCCTATCAAATAAGCCCAATCATATGGCTCAGTGGTCAAAGTATAGCAACTAGCAAACTAGCATCACAAGACTGCTAAACAGATGAAACAAATGGCTCCTAGAGCTATGGCTACAATCTCTTTGCTACTAACAGATTTAGCCACTTGTTGGCAGCAATGTCATTCTAACGAGATAACTGTCACCAAGCAGTTCAATCTTTTAGTGCCAAAGGGGTTTCATTATCAGTGTAGCTGTAGGCTTATAGGTAAGCTCTGCCAAAAAAAAAAAAAAACCTGGATGAATGAGCACAGGAGGCACAGCAGACAGCAGCATTGTCAGTCTGGGGGGAGAGTAGTGCTAAATGTTTTAGCACATTTAAATACAATAACAAATTGAAACCAAACTTCAGCTCACACTTTTTGTTACAGCAAACAGTTTTTGAAATTGAATTGAAACCCACACTTTATTTGTGTGTTACTGAAACATATAAAACTCAACTTCAGTACTGCCCATACAATAGATTATGGTGTGTCATGTTAAAAATAAGGTGCATGCCCAGTTTTCTTTTTATTGTCTTGTGTTGGCAACCCATTCAAAATGAAAAGATGGCCTTAATGAAGGTTATCGCATACAGTACCATGTGAGGGAATGCACCGCAACACTGGTAGATGTGAAGTGGTCCTATGAATTGTAAGCTTTAACACACTGACATCCACCCAGAACTGAAGTATCACTTTTGGTTGGACATGGCCCTTAAGTCTTTACTGGCTATAGACAATTGATAAGTCGAGTACCTGCAGCGTACAGCCGAATACACCAATCATCAGCATGGCCACAGAGAGATATTCGGTGAAGACGTCCCACCAGGGCTTTAGGACACGAAACGCTGGTTGCTGTTCCGAGAACTGACGGAATTCAGTGACTGGAATCATTTTCCTAAAAAAAACACAAATACAGATGATATAAATCAGCCGCTCTCAGTGACGAGCATGCATGATAAGATTACATCTAAACTACAAGCCATACATTTACTGGAAATGATAAATTCACAGTCTAAACATACTGGAGTACAAAGATTAAATCTACATGCCCTGACGTTAGAACTTCCAGATCCTAAAAGTGCAATTACCGTTTTCAAACCTTGACACATATTTTACAGCAAGAAACAAAAGAAATTACAAAGTTTTAAAAGTACAGCTGATTATTATCAAGCTGATGAAACCTAAAACTTTGCTTTTATTGTTCAATTTCACTCTTAAGTGCAATCCTGGCTTGGAAAAGGATATTAAAGGAAACAGAATTATACTGCACAACATTTCCTTTTCATTTACTGGACTTAGATTGATTGTAAAGAATTCCATTTCATTTTTAAAAAATAACAAATATGTCATACTTACCTGCTCTGTGCACAGAGCAGTCCCGATCCTCCTCTTCTGCAGTCTAATTAGCTGTACTTCAGTGGTAAAGTGCGAACAAGCAGCATACTGATTAGAGCAGCAGAGAAATCAGTGTGCCTATTTTTTTCAAATTCTTTATTTAGAAAGAAAGTATCTAGCAAATCGCATCCAAATAGGAACAGCAGAAATATCTTATAAAGTACAAAAAAGGAAAATACCGTAGAGGTCATTTACAAATAAAACAACAAAAGCACAAGGTATAAAATACAACTTTAAAATGTCAGACCATACTGAACAGTGAACACTGTATTGATCAGTGTACTGTGATTGAATCCTTCACTATTCAATCACAGACTGGGGGAGGGACAAGACCTGGAAATGTTAAGTTGCTTTCACACTGATCCATTTTTCTTCCACTTTTGTGTTAAAAAAATCAGATGAAAAACGTGTGACCATATATTCCTATGGAACTCTTCACACTGATCTGTTCTGGGTCTGGTGCATTTTTTAAAATCCTGCTGGCTGCATTCTTGGTGCAGGTTTGGTACGGAAAATGTGGCAAAAAAGCATCAAAAACACACCTGTGTTGCGTTTTTTGTGTGGTTTTTGAGTCACATGTCCTTTAAAAAAACGCACTGCACATGCGGTTAAAACACGTCAATATACGTTTTTGCTATGGATTAGTGTGAAAGTAGCCTTACCTAAGTGAATCAGAGAAAAATCAGGTCTCCTGCACTGTGCTCAGGAGCTGAACTGTGGAAATCCAAGAACTAGATAGACAGAAATCCAAATCTTTTGGTGAATAAGACAAGTCCCTTATATCTATTTTAATTGTGTATTAGCTGGAATTCAGCTTTATCTAATTTGTTCATAGTGAATGTAAATGTGCCAGTACTGAGCTTTGGGATTTTTTGTCCCCATGCTGATAAAACCCAAATCATTTCAGGCATCAGTTCCAATATTTTATAATTATTTATAATTTTGCTTCTAGACTAGTGCATCTCAGACACTAGGATCACTATATTCCCATAATACCATGCCTTCTGAACATTTTTATAGTATACACGGCTGAGAAGAAATTTCACTGTGTGCTTAAAACAATGGTCTCCAAAATGCAGCCCATGGGCTGAATGCGGCCCTTTGCTTGCCTCTATACAGCCCTCAGGGTACTATTCTTTCCACTGACACCAACAATGGGGCATTTTCCTTCCATTACAAGCAATGATGTGGCACAATTCCTCCCAATAATAGGAACAATTAGGCACTATTTCTCCAACTAATACCATTGATGGGGCACTATTCATCCCACTGACATCAATGATGGGGCACTATTACTCCAACCAATACCATTGATGGGGCACTATTCATTCCACTGACATCAACGATGGGGCACTATTACTTCAACCAATACCAGTGATGGGGCACTATTCCTCCCACTGACACCAATGATGAGGCACTATTCCTCCCACTGACACCAGTGATGGGACACTATTCCTCCCACTGACACCTGTGATGGGGCACTATTCATCCCACTGATATCAATGATGGGGCACTATTCATCCCACTGACATCAATTCCTTCCACTGACACTACTGATGGGGCACTATTCCTCCCACTGACACCTGTGATGGGGCACTATTCATCCCACTGACACCAATGATGGGATACTGTTCCTCCAACCAATACCATTGCGGAGGCACTATTCCTCCCACTGACACCAATGATGGGGCACTATTCATCCAACCAATACCAATGATGGGGCACTATTCCTCCCACTGATACCAATGATGAGGCTCTATTCCTCCCACTGACACCAGTGATGGGGCACTATTCTGTCCACTGTCACCAATGATGGGGCATTATTCCTCCCACTAATACCAATGATGGGGCACTATTCTCCCAACTAATATTAACCTGCCTAGCGGTCTGATTATGTAAATATTTCTGTGCTCAAAGCGGTAAATTTTTTTACATGGAAATAAGTTGTTTTTTATTGTAGGCCTGTAATTTTTAGGAATAACTCACTGAAATCTGTCCGTACAAGAGTCAAGAGTTTATAACATCCCGGGTATGATAAAATTTGAAACACAAAATCATAAATTATAATTTAATAAATAATCATAAAAAGTAATAATATAATAATAATACATTTAATTCAATAATGTAATCAAACCAAAAACACTGAAATTTGAAATATAGCGCCAAGTTCGCACATCACTGAGCAAAGTCGCAAAATCGTTTTCAGTGTCTGATGACGAATTTCCCCACGAATCATTATCACTCAATTCTGCAAGTGGTTCTGATTTACTATCGCTGTTCTCTAGCTGATCTAAACCCGCTTTTGACCTAAAGGGACACTTTTTGGACGCCATGGACGTTTCTCAGTTTCCAGGCAGAAAGAACAGTAAAAATGCAGGCAGGGCACAGGACAAAGCACTAGGGACAAAATGTATGTGAAATGGTTTGATCAGGGGCGGACTGACCATTTGGGAACTTGGGCACTGCCCGAGGGCCCGGGGTCAGTAGGGGCCCCCATGAGATGCCCCTGGTACCTTTCGTAAGGTTTTTTTGGGTGTGGTTTGAGTGTGGGTGAGGACACAGGGGACCCATGATCCCCTATTGCCTGGGGGCCCCAT